AAGAGGAGGAGCACAAACATCTCATTTAAGAAAATGAATGTGGGAGAAGGAGGGGCTGCTGTATATGTGGGGATGACAGCAGACGCCGTCAGCTAACAGCAAACTCTTTACAAATCAGTGTAACGCGCTCAGAGGGAGGCCCGTCTGGGTCTTCAGGAGGCCGAGTCCGAAAAGTCTCAGGACAACTTATCGATGGTGAACTGTGGCAACATCTGTCTCTGATGTGAAAATGCTCCAGCAAAGAGATGAATAAACAAACCGACACAAAGTTTTAGAGAGAGACAGATGGACGGGAGGTGCAGAGAGGTTTTAGTGTTCATCATCTGTTAGGCAGTGAAAAAGACGAACGCGGAAGCTATCCGCTTGTTTAGTGCAGTCGTTTGTTTAGTCTGGCTCATAAATTCAAATGATTAATTATCAAATATCGGACATATTTTATTTTTACAATTCAGTGGTTCTCTGTCCAATATTCCTGTTGTATTCGTACGTGTATGCGTCTTTATTATTGTTTTTATGTATCTGGTTTTATTTTAATGGACTTTGGTCTGCAGTTTCTGTGCTCATATTTAAATGTGCTCTGTAAAAAGGGTCGACTTTGTATGGCTGGTGTTGTTTCGTTGGATCGTATTTGTTTGAGCTGAATCGACATATATTTCGTTGTTAAATTGATCATATTTCAAACTGCATTACTGCTGCGTCTATAAACATAACAAATAAATGTAAATGAGAGTTTAACAGCGTCTGAAAACATTGTGAGAGCAAGCAGCCGAAAATCCCATTTTTTGCTGACCTCCGATGTTTTTACGTCTGAGCTCGCTGCAGTGATGTAGAAGTGCACACCCACACCCACACACACTACTGACCACACCCAACCACAGTGTCTGATACAAATATTGAGATTTATATAAACTAAGCTTAGCTTTGCTGACAATGCCATGAAAACGTTCTCTTAAAACGAGTTATTTGACGCGACGGGTTCAAGGCAGAGGAGAAGAGAATGAAGAAAACTGTATCTGAAGAAGTCCACCGGGAGGAGAGGACCTCAATCTTGTCCTCCTGGTTGGCCGTCTTTCTAGCCTTTCACGTCTTCTGACTTATTTATCTAGTCGAGAGGCGTGGACTAGCTGTGGTGGATTTGAAAATGCAAGCCCACAACACACAAACACACACACAGTCTACAGAGGGTTAACCCGATTACAGGAAACCAGAGAAGCCTTGCGCAATCTGTCTTTGCGCATCAGCATTAGAATTTCAAAGTAGCTTTTGATTGTTTGATCTCATAACCAAAAAACGATTGTTGGTTATAAAAAGAGCTATGAGGGGGAAAAAAGCAATTAACATAAAGCTGTGGTTCTATTAATACTCACTGTTCTCTGTGGTCTTGTGGCTGGTTGTGATTCATAATTAACTGTGAAGGAATCCCATTTTCACCTTCTGCTTTTGTTCCCCACTAGACCGGCTCTCTGGAGAGCGGAGGAGAGCGAGAGCAGCGAATCACATGATGCTCCACGCTGCAGAAAGACTAGAAAGAGCTTCTCTAGTTTCTAATATCACAATCTGACAGAACGGATGTCGACAAATATAATGCGTCGGCACAAATATTCTTTTAATTTGTATTCAAAGGAAGCTGTACCGTTGAACAAGTCCATCGTGTTATTAAGCTGTGCTGCAGATCTGCATTGATGTTTTCAAATCGTCTCAGAAGTGTTTTACCTGTTGAGGTAGCTGCAGTCACATCTACTGTACAGCTGAGTGAGAAAAAGCATTTATATCTACGTATTAAACGTAACTATCGGGTGATTCTGCAAAACCTGGGATTCATTCCCGTCTCGTACAGAGTTACTGTACATTACCATAAAACTAGACTCATTCACTTTTTTGAGGAAAGCATGTTTTCTCCCAGTTTACAGTCGCAGTTTTAAACAGTGTGAAGCACAAAACAAGATGAAACTACCTGGCTATGCTCAGTAAAAATGATCATGGTTTGGTTTAAAATGAATACTACGTGCAACCAAATCACTTGGTTAGAGTTAGGCAACAAAACTACTACCGTGTAAATGCTAACTTCACTCAAAACACATTGTACCTGTATTTTAATTTCAAAATATTAGATCTATACTAGAACACTAGATCTGATATCGCAGCACTTTGCAGTTAGGTTGATGTGAGATCTAGATCTATTTGGAGGAACAGAGAAGAAGCTGCACACGATCCCTATTTGATATCACAAGCTGCTCAGTGATAACAGCTCTTGCATATCACAATAACTATATCTATATATTAGGTCAATCTGGCTGTGTTGACCATCTCTCTTCCGAGCCCCCGAGGCCCCTGACAACTGCAGTTTGTCTCCATAATAATCAGGCCAGCGCTAAATACATCAACACAAGGAGATGATAAAAACACAGCATTCAGCTCCATTGATTAGCATTGTTAATTTCTCGCTCGGTGGTGCAGAGTAAGTGAGGCTGCGTAGCTGGCTGGGACCGGATCTTCATCTCTGTTTGTGTCTCTGACTCTCTCTCACTGTGAAGCTTCTATCATATATGAGACAGTATAGAGGTCAGAGTAAACTAGAACCTTTGGTTGCTTTATCTTCTGAAGGCAAGCGACCACCGGAAGACTGTTTGTCGTTTTTGAACAGCCGCTCTGCCGCTCTATGGCTCAACGGTTGAGGTCTAGTTTAGTTCAGGCAACTAAAACTAGAGTTTTAAAGTGAGAGAGGAACTTGTTTTTGTGACGACACGAGGAGGACACCTGACCGATAAATGGAAGCTTGTTTTAAGCCGTCATTTTTGTGATGAGGATGCGCTCCATGTCCAGGTGGATTTTTAAGGTGCTTTCCAAGACCAGCATTCTGTTGTGACGCCTACATTACATCTTCATCTACAACGGTTCATAAAGTTGCCGTGCGCATTGTATTGTGTATTGCATTGCAGATACAGGTGTTGATCACATTGAAATCCAAATGGTTTCTGAAAGAAACGCATTTGAAAATATCTTTGAGACAAATAGAAACAAACACTATCTGTCTGGCTTTTCTCTTAACCGTTTTAAAGTATTTTTTTCACAAATTCAGGGCAACACAGAGCTATAACTCATATACAAATACATTTTTTGGGGGGTGAAGTATTCCTTTGAAGGAAAAATCTGACATTTTGAACATTTGCCTGCAACAGGCCGTGTTCCTGTTATAGTGACAGGGCCTCCTCTGCTGACACTCGGCTCATTAACATAGCTTGCATTGTGGCTCACTTGCTTACAGCTGTTGGTTTTTAGTGATGACATTTTTAGGGAAGCTAAAAGGGACAAATCCAGAAGGAGCTTCCTGTAATGTAACAGCTGAGTGGTGAAGAAAATAAGTACATTTTTTTGGGAAATGTCACAGTCTCCCTCTAAGCTTAGCTGAGTACCATTACTCAGTAAAATCTGTGGAAATGTGTTCTCTATTTCTCCAGTCAGCCACTGCTGGAGCTGCCCTACAGTGGAGAGATCACGCTTTGAAGGCATTTCATTTGCTTCCTTTGTGGATGAATTAATTATGTGATGAAAAAAAAGCAACATAGGGTGTAAACTGTAGATGATGATGAGAACAAAGTAAAGTTGAATTAAGAGTTCCTACAGTGATGATTTGTCCCTTAAAGGCAGAGGTTTTCATTTATTAGATCCTCCATTATCTAAAAGGAGGGATTGTAAAAAAAGAGAAGAAAGAAATCTGCCCCAAGTGAAAGACGAGGATAAATAGCAGGGAATCCGGGTAAATAAACCAACAGTGCAGTAAATGCAGCATTGCGGTTCTGCTGCGATATGAAACTGGCTCTCATAAATAATGTAGCTGATTGTCGGCCGGCCTGCCAGGAGCCGGAGCAACGCTCCTCACACAGCAGAAACACGGTGCGAGGTGGCCAAACACACAACACAGTGCCGGTATCAATCGCTGCACTGTCAAACGTGGAACCCATGACATGCACACCGGTGTGCACAAATACAAAGAACTTCTTATTTCTGCGGGAAAGGTGCCGCGTTGCCATCTTTAGAATGAATGCAGCCGAAGAACGCGCTCCATCCTGTGTGCCTTTCCGGCTTTTCAATCAATACATTGCAAATGCTGCATATTATACCTTTAAGAATATTAGCATCCTAACTGAAACTGATTCTTTATGAAAGACCATTAAAGTAACTTAACATCTCGGCAACAGTGTTTTCTGCATTATGGCAGAACAGCAGCAGTGGCAGGAGGGGGGGACCTGAAACCAACAAGTGTATTTAAGCACAATAGCTCCCCGCGGAGCGCCTGTGAATTACACCAATAAAAACAGACTATTATCTTCGCTGCTCTTAAGCAACACTGATTCCTCCCTGGTGACTCAGACACAAAACACTGGAAATAAAATGGCAACAAAAACACATTAAACAAGTGAGAAAGTGACTGCGGGTTATTACTGAGAAGAGAACAAATCCAAAGCAAGTCAAACAGTGGAGCTGGCGAATTTAAACAGTGTGTGTGTGTGTGTGTGTGTGTGTGTGTGTGTGTGTGTGTGTGTGTGTGTGTGTGAGAGGGGTCAGGAGTGAATATGAAATGATGCAGCATCTGTTGAGTCTTTAAGTGATATATCACTCCATTCAGCTTCGTTTAGCATCACTTCGTCTGAGTTAATTGGTTCATGAGGAGCACTAATTAAGGGGGATGGCCTTGTTTATTGTCATGGCGACACTCGTTAAGCGGATATATCATTTTTTTTCTTCAAGACTTGTGACATTAACCCACCCTTCACAACTGCGGGTGGCGTGGAGGGGGGGGGCAGTGTATATTTACTTTCATTTTAGATGTGGCAGCTCGTGTGTAGCAGAGTGAAGCGCACACACACACACACACAGCTTGACACCACTCCACATGTGCTGTAAACAAATGTACGCATATACTGTGTAACGCATTAATACACAGGAAAACACATATTATACATGCAGTACACACACACACACATGAGGATGCGTCCTACCTCTCTACGTCGTGAGGCCCAGCAGGTCTGTTTGACTTTCCAAACCACAGCAGCGACCAGTAACAGAGACAGGAAACAGCTGGAGAAGGGAGAGGGACAATTGATCAATCAAAAACCAATAATCTTGCATGAACAAAAAAATATGCAAACATTATTCACATCATGCAAAATGCCATGGTGCAACTAACTGACCCAGCAAGGCACCACTCTGGCTTTCCCAGATAAGTCTGTTTATCTGTCTAATGTGGGTTCACGTTAAATGTTTCTGATTCCAGAATTTTCTGTTTTCTTGTAAAAAATACTCGACAATATTACTCCTGCTCTTCTCTACAAAATAATTACATGAAACAATTATTCAACTACGACAATCTGCGAAGGGAAAATAACTGTTGCTCACTACTTTTAGACACATTCAACCTTTCAATGGGGCAACAAGTCAAACAGGTTTGTAGCCACTGCTTCAGGTTTCATTTGGATAGATATAATAATATATTGTGTGCACACTTATAGAGCTAACAGACGAAGCTGCTGTTGACAAAAACATGAATATTAATGAAATGCTCTCATGCATATAGTGTCCTTTGTAGTTTTCCCTATGGAAATAGGTTTTGGTACATCACTAACACATTGTGCTCCACATTATACAACTTAACTCCAGTATCTGCGGATAGCATAATAATTGAAACAGCGTGTATTTCATGCTCGTAGTACTGTGTAATTGGCCTTAAAAAAACACTTCAAGTGCAAAGAGAAGAAAAAAAAGATGAATCACACAACCACAACACAATCAGAGAGCAGTATCTTCACACCCATTTACTGTCCTCCAGCTCCAGTTTCCGGAGAGCAAAGACGACAAAGGAGGGAGAAATTCTCGGAGTATTTGTGGCGAGATACGAGGCCGCGGTGACCACAGACAGCTGGGGATTTTAGGACAGCAAAGGGGGAGCGAGAGGTCAACTAGCAACATGATGCTCTCTAACAAAGAACAAGGTCTCATGCACACACAGATAGGCGCGCACACACACACACACACACACACACACACACACACACACACACACAC